TGGCGACATTGCGATTGTAGTGACGTGCATCTGAAGCATGTGCCACGCTGCAGGGCCGCCGCAGCGTCCCGACGAGATGCCGTGGGGCCGTGTTGTCGCCGTTCCCAGTGCCGCCTCGCCCACGTACGCCGCCCCTGTGGTGGTCGGCCGGGCGGTGTTGCTTCCTCAGCACGGCCGTCCCGTGGCCCGCGGAGGCTAGCTGACGCCGACCGTGGGCCGCCCGAGAGAGAGAGAGAGATAGGGGGAGAGAGGCCGACTGGTTCGTGGGATACGGTACACGGCGACCGATCGGATTTCCCCCTGCCTTAAGCCAAACTGTTGAGGAAGTGGAGAGCTTACGTCCTCGCGCTTCGCCCGATTACACGTCTCGATGATCCGCTGGACCGCCTGTGAGCAACCGCTGATGCAACTGAAACAAAACAGCACTGGTGACGCAACGAGACTGCGAACAACTACGGACGCGTCGATCGGACGTGATGGTTCAAGGAAAGCCGTCAATCGCACATAACAGTGTGCTTGGGTCCTGTCCCGAGCGAGCCGACCTGACCTGAGCTGGCCTGCGCCGAGTGGATCTGGGCGAGACGGGATGGGACAGGGCAGAGCGGGACAGGGCAGGGCAGGGCAGGGCAGAGCGGGACAGGGCAGGGCATGGCAGGGCAGGGCAGGACAGGGCAGGGCAGGGCGGGGCAGGGCAGGGCCACGGCCAGGGCGGGGCGGGTGGACCGGACCGGTGCCGGAGGAGGACTGGCTGGTGACGGGGCGGTCGGGCCTGTGCGTGTGCGTGCCAGGTGATGCCGGGAGCGGCGGAGGCGGCGCTGCCGGCCGCCGAGCTGGCCGTGGTGCGGCGCGCCATGTCGCGCTCGGTCAGCGACTCGGGTGGCCGCCGCCAGCGACCCCTCTCGCTGCCGCTGGCCTCCATGCAGCTGCAGGTAGGTGGGCCGCCGCTGCAGCCGCCGCAGCCGCCGCTGCCGCCGCCGCCGGGCCGGCACAGGCGCGGCGCGTCCCCAGCGTGCCCCGCCCGCTTCAGCACGGATACCGACTCCGCTAGCTGCCGACAGACCGCGGCGATAGTGGTGATGTGTTGTGGCGCCTGTACCCTTAGGGGACTAGGGTAGGCTAGGTGGCGTCAGGAGTTGGTGTTAGATGCGTGTGTTAGATGTGTTAAGTGGGTTGTGTGCCGTGGAGTCAGGGTGACGGTTTGCTCCTGGGGTCTTCGATCCGTTGACTTGTTTAGCGACTCGGTAGCCAATTGTAGACGGTTGCGTGGGTGGCATGTGGAATGAAAGCCTCCAAATCCACTGCGACTTTAGTACAGATGCCGTACTTTTAATCAGTTGTGTGAAAAGCAGGCTTGTTGGAGATTTTCCAACATCTGAATCATGTGAGCTTCCCCGGGTGTGGGCTGTAAATGGAGCGATGAGTCATGCGGACGGTGCATCGAATAATGCGATGACTTGCGTTCTTGTGGCCCGTCTGCAGGGAATGTTGGGGCCACAGAGCCATGGTCAAGAGAGATAGCAAGACAACGCCGGTCATTGTTTGAGAGGCTGCAGAGATCTGAGCGTTCAGGTGTTGGAGTGGAGCAGACATGAACGTTCTGGCCGTTTTGCTAGGAGTAAAATGGGTGTATTACATGTGATGTCTTTCCAAGGAAGGGCGGAGGGCGATAGGCTCTAAGCGAACTTGACAGAGATTGTGGATCTGCCCCGGGAAAGCCGCCGTGTCTGCCACATGGGCCGTCCTCTGTTGAAGAGGTGGTCGACGCTGCGATCAGCTCCGCAGAGCCGGGGGATCGTCCGCCGCGTCTCAGGCCGCCGGCTGGACGGTCGCGGCCGGCAGAGGTCGTGTTAGGTCGGCTGTTGGTGTGCGTGTCCGGCGAAGTCGGGGCCAGCCTGCTCCGGCGGCACGCATGGGCGTGTCAGCGTCTGGGCCGGCTCCGGCGGACTGTAAAGGCACCTCGGTCAGGCCTGGCGGCTGTCACGGACGCCAAGGGTGGTGCTTAACGGCTGCTCGGGCGCTGTGGGTCGGGTCTGGCTGCTGTCCGGACATTTTGGGTCGGGCCTTATGACTGACTGTCACGGACCTCATGGGTCGAGTATGGTGAGCCGTCACGAGCACCATGGGTCGTGTATGGTGGGCCGTCACGGACCTCATAGGTCGTGTGTGGTGGGCCGTCACGGACCTCATAGGTCGTGTATGGTGGGCCGTCACGGACCTCATAGGTCGTGTATGGTGGGCCGTCACGGACCTCATAGGTCGTGTATGGTGGGCCGTCACGGACCTCATAGGTCGTGTATGGTGGGCCGTCACGGACCTCATAGGTCGTGTATGGTGGGCCGTCACGGACCTCATGGGTCGTGTATGGTGGGCCGTCAAGGACCTCATAGGTCGTGTATGGTGGGCCGTCACGGACCTCATAGGTCGTGTGTGGTGGGCCGTCACGGATCTCATGGGTCGTGTATGGTGGGCCGTCACGGACCTCATGGGTCGTGTGTGGTGGGCCGTCACGGACCTCATGGGTCGTGTGTGGTGGGCCGCCACGGATCTCATGGGTCGTGTATGGTGGGCCGTCACGGACCTCATGAGTCGTGTGTGGTGGGCCGTCACGGACCTCATAGGTCGTGTATGGTGGGCCGCCACGGATCTCATGGGTCGTGTGTGGTGGGCTGTCACGGACCTCATAGGTCGTGTATGGTGGGCCGTCACTGACCTCATAGGTCGTGTATGGTGGGCCGTCACGGACCTCATGGGTCGTGTGTGGTAGGCCGTCACGGACCTCATGGGTCGTATATGGTGGGCCGTCACGGACCCCATGGATCGGGTATGGTAGGCCGCCACGAGCACTCTAGGTCGGTTATGACGGGTCGTCAATTTGCTCTGACATTTCGGGGAATAAACGTGAGGTCCATGGCGTTTCATGGAAAGAATGGACTCTCAAAGCCCATTTGCGTCCCGGACTTTTTGGTTGAAGCTCCGTTTATGACAACATAAGCCGTCCCTACCGCCAGATACAAATGATCCAATCGTGAATTATTTACAAATGCGACCGCTGACATTTGCCATGGCCTGGCATGTCATGCTAGCGGGTGCCATAGAGACAGATGATTATGGTGGCTGGTAATGGTACAGCTCTTGAGGCCAGCGTCTCGAGGATTCACTGACGCGTACGACAGGTGCATTCGGTCCTGCCGACAGGTGTATTCGGACTTCTCCCTCCCTTGGTGTTTGCATTGGTTGCGGGCGAAACATGAGCCTGGCTGCTTGCCGCCCCTTTCGGCCGTGCCCGCCCTGCCGTGCCTGCTGCCCCTGCCGTGTAGTGGTGTGGTACCCCGCACGCAGCTCCGGCCGTGCCCGCCCTGCCGTGCCTGCTGCCCCTGCCGTGTAGTGGTGTGGTACCCCGCACGCAGCTCCGGCCGTGCCCGCCCTGCCGTGCCTGCTGCCCCTGCCGTGTAGTGGTGTGGTACCCGGCACGAAGCTCCGGACGTGCCCGCCCTGCCGTGCCTGCTGCCCCTGCCGTGTAGTGGTGTGGTGCCGGGCACGCAGCCCCGGCCGTGCTCGCCCTGCCGTGCCTGCTGCCCCTGCCGTGTAGTGGTGTGGTGCCGGACACGCAGCCCCCTCCGGCCGTGCCCGCCCTGCCGTGCCTGCTGCCCCTGCCGTGTAGTGGTGTGGTGCCGGGCACGCAGCCCCCTCCGGCCGTGCCAGCCCTGCCGTGTAGTGGTGTGGTGCCGGGCACGCAGCCCCCTCCGGCCGTGCCAGCCCTGCCGTGTAGTGGTGTGGTACCCGGCACGCAGCCCCCTCCGGTCGTGCCCGCCCTGCCGTGTAGTGGTGTGGTAGCCGGCACGCAGCCCCCTCTGTTCTCATGCCCACGTGAAAGGCGGACGGATTATTTTGCCTCTTTTCCAGTTAGCTTTGTTCTAGTTCAACTAAGAATGTTAGAGACCCTCTGCACGAGTGAAGCAAGGTGTGGACAAATGCCAGGTGTGGTGGCACCGGTGAGCGACCTGGTCGCGTCAGGTCGTGACAGGTCACGTCCGCGTGACTGACTTCAGGTCAACATTCTGGCCGGTCCAGATGCCTGGTGCCCTGCCTAATTCATCCGCAAGGACGCACGTTAACGCTATGTCATTGCGCGCTAATGGATATGTATTGATGGTTTGCCTTACGACGGTCACAAACTGGTCATATTTGCCTTGGGTTGGTGACCATGTGTATTTTGTCATTGAAAGTGAACTGCTACTGCGTGTATAATATTGTTTTACTAACAGCATTTTCTGACGCAGCTGTATGTCACTCACGCTTCGTTTTCATGCGTTACGCGGGGGTACAGAGTGTTCTGACCTTTCAGCGCGAGCTCGTCGGCGCAGCGGTGTTCAAGCTGTGTGCACGACTCGTTACCCAGTCCAGCCCTGTTAAAAAGTGTACCGACTAGATGCTCCCTTCGCGTTTTGGAGCAGCGTCCGCAGCCTAACGCGTCCTGCCCGACACCCTACCCGCCCGCGCAAGACACCCAGTCCCGGTAGGCCGTTGGGTCAACGTGTGTGTTCCCCTAGCGGCGTCGCGACGGAAGCGACATGCCATCCGCCGCCGGTGTTCGCGCTCGGCCCGTGGGCGTTGTCAACCGACCTGCGTGCCCGGCGCCTCGGTGACCTGGGCGGCGTCCGACCCGACGCCGTGCGTGTGACGCGCTGCTCGCCGCCGCCCGTCCGTTTGTTTATGATATCTACCGTACGGCCCGGTGACGTCACGCGGCGGGCGCCAATTGGAGGAGCGCGGCGCGGCGTGCGTCTGCCGGGTGACAGACGGCCTTGTTTTGGTGGCGGCGCGGGGGGCGGAGGGACGGACCGGCAGGTCGGCGGGACCGGGACGTCACCGCCCGGTCAACGGTCCGACTCCGCCGCGGTCGGCCGTCGAAGTCGACGCCGCTGTGGGCTGCTCCGGTCCGCGTCGGTTCGGTGTGGCGCGGCCGCCGCCTGATGGCGCCCTCCGACCGTGTGTTGCAGAAGGAGCTGAACATCAGCAAGCGGTCGTCGCGGTCGGGCCAGCGTCGCTCCGTCATCGTCACATCGTCACCGACGCTGCCGCGGTGCCACTCGCCCATGCCAGGTGCGTGTCCCTCTCCGCCTGGCTTCCTGCCTCCCTCGCGCCGTCGTGCTGTCTCTCCCATCAGCCTCTCTCTTTTTCCGTCTCTGTCTCCGTCTGACGTCTGTCCTCTCCGTATCCGCCTTTCCTGCTTCCACTCGGCCTCTCTGTTTTCTTATCTCCCATCTGTCCTCTTATTCTCGCCTGTCCCTCCCATTTTGTTCTCTTTACCTCCCTCGTTTGAGTCTTTTACCACTTCGCTCGTCTTTGTTTTCGTGTGCTCCACTGTCGCGACTAGCGTGGGCTGTTGTAACCCGTTTAAAGTGTCGTGCGTCGTCCATTTCCAGTTAATGGACAGCGCGCTTGTTTTTAGTGCGGCGCACGCCCGCTGTTACCCGCCGCCCGCCTGCAGCCTGGCCACGTCTGCGCGCGTCGCCCCGCCGCGCCGCTGGCAGCGCCGCCGCGGCCGGGTGCGTTGCCAGCGGCGCACAGCCGCCCGTCCCGCCCACCGACGTCTGGGCCGCCGGCCGGTGACGTCAGCCGCCGCCCGCCGTGACGTCACGCCTCTGTCCCGCAGGCAGCCCCGTGGACAGCCCCAAGAACATGTCGCCCAATCAGCATTTCGCGTTTGCCGCCGTCAAGAGGTGAGGTCGTCCTGGAGCGGCTCGGTGAACGGCAGCCGTGCGCGCGGACGGGGGGGGGGGGAGGGGGAGAGGGGCAGGATTCATTGGGCCCGGCCGCTGGAGTCCAGCTCCAGAGTTAACAGTGGGTTGCCCGGCCAAATGACTGTGACTTCAAACATCACGAGTAACTTTCATGTGAATTGAGCGTCTTGCATATAGAAGCTGAGATTCGTTGGTGCGCGAGCCCGGAGCCGAGGAGCTGTTGGGCCGCAGATGCCGCCAGCCGTGTGGTGAACTTTCGAGATGGCTCCAAATGTCAGACGAACTTGTACCCTCGGTTATAATTTAGTGCCTCTTGCGGCGGTGCATCGCCATCCCAAGCACATTTGGAGGGCAGTTAGCTCTTGCATTTATCATCGTCATTATTGGGTGGGAGTAGTCGTGTGCTGGCATCATCTCAAGAATATTTGAAATAGTCCATTCTTGCACGAAGCTCTTTTGTCCCGCGCTGGCATGGGCTCAAGTATGCTATGTTCTGGCGTCGTTCCAGGTATATTTGGAGTAGCCACCTTCAGTGTTGTCATTACATCTTTTTTTGTCGCGTTCTGACCATGCCCCAATGGCATTTGCTGATAGCCCAAAGCCGTCCGTGTAATCGGTGCCGGTGCTGGGCTCGTTCCGCGTTGATGCCGAGTATTTGGCGCGGTCGGTGCTGCGTGCGTCACGTGCGCCCCAGCGGAGAGGGCTTCCAGCGCCGCCGGTGGTGTTGCGAGCCGCCGCCGGTACCCTGCGTGTGGTGTACACGTTAGCGCGCCGCCGGTGGTGTTGCGAGCCGCCGCCGGTACCCTGCGTGTGGTGTACACGTTAGCGCGCCGCCGGTGGTGTTGCGAGCCACCGCCGGTACCCCGCGTGTGGTGTACACATTATCGCGCTGCCGGTGGTGTTGCGAGCCGCCGCCGGTACCCTGCGCGTGGTGTACACGTTAGCGCGCCCTCGGTAAATGTTTCATGGCTCGTTTTGAGCCGCTGCCGCCGGCTACAGCCGTGCACCGTAGCGCTGTGAGGAGGCGCGGTGCGGTGCGGCAGGGGAGCGTTCCGGCAGCTGGAGCCCGGCCCGGCGGCGCGATACGGCCCGATCGGACCTGCGCCCGTGGCGGATCGATCGTCCGTTTCCGGCCGGCCTCGCCATATGGGTGTGACGCCGCTGCGGGGCGGGCCGCCGTCGTCCCGCGGCTCTGGCGGACCGGCTGACCCGACCCCGGCAGGCTGGCGCCGCCGGGCGCCGCCTTACGGCTGGCCGGCTCCGCACGCGCCGCCGACGCCGACGCCGACTCAGCGGCCGGCGGATGATGTATAGCTCGGCCGCGCCCATCTCCTGATGGAGATGGCGGATGTCCGCCGACCCGCAATCTCCATCCAGCTTCTGATCGTTCGGGATCGCAGTATTGGTCGGGTTTGGAAGTGTTTGCGGCCCTGCTTGGTCAGACAAGCGCCGCGCCTCGCCGGATGTGCGGCGTAGGCCAAATCAATAGGCCGACGTGAGCGCGAAAAAATTACATCCTGCGGCAGATGTTGGCCGCCCAGTTTGTGGTGCGTTCTTCAACTTTTCGTGCATGTGTCGGATGATAAGACGGATCAAAATTGTAAAAGATCTTGGCGAAGCAGTAATTAAGTCGGTATTTTTGGAGGAGGAGAATGGATCATGAACGTGATACGTGTTGTACTTCCCAGGCAGGAGAAATAGCCACTAGTGTCGGAGCAAAAGCGTTGTATAGACACATGCGATAGAACTGTCTTTATGTACGTCTATTATTTCTGTTATTTCGCATTGCAGCATGAATGGAGGGCATTATGCTACAGTTTGAAACGTATTGTACCCTCTATAGTATTTGGCACATACTTCTAGTCGGATCTGGCTCGTACAACATCCTGAACTCTGCAGTGGTGACGGGTCTGGTCGTCTTTCTGGCACCAGACACCGCGTGTGCACGCCCACTCACCACCCAGCAGATGGGCAAAGCTCTGGCGTTTCGGGGTCGCCGCTGCCGCCCGCGGCGTGGCTGGCCCGCTTCCCCGAGCTTCGGTGGGGTCGGTCTGGTGCGCTCTCATTTCCTGGCCGGCGAGCGGGCCAAGGCCGGGCGCGCGGGCGGTGCTGTACGCCGAGGAGGCCGCTGAGTACGCGCCGAGGACCGATGCGGGTCTGGGAGGCGCGGCAGCCGACGCTCGTCGCTGAGCAGCCGCCGACGAGACGCTGAACCGATACAGTGGCTTCCGGATGTACCTTCCCGAGGCGTTCGGAGGGCGCTTAATGTACGCAAAGCTCGTTGATATGTGTCAAGGTTCCGTTTGGGAAGTGTCATTTCGGTGCGTCTTAATAAAAACTTTGGTGAGTTCATCATTTTCAACACTATAGATTCCTGCACCCTGTTTGTGGGGTGAAGGTGAACGGCTCGTTCCCGTGGTATGCATGCTTGGTGAACGAAACTCTACGGTGCTATTTTGCTATTCAGCGATGGATCTCATGGCATGAGATACTTGGAGCTAGTGATTGATCGGATCAGATTTTTGTATCCTAATGAAAGCGGGTTCTTATTTTCTAAATGAGACCCTTTGCGTATTGAAAATTCAGACCTGGCAGGCTCTCACTACGGAATGTGAATCGTTCGGAGACTATCTCAGTCGTGCTTGGGTGGCTTTGCCCATCCACGTTAATAGGACGCAGCGCTCGTCACTATTGGTCGCCGCTACCCTACGCACCATCTAGCTGGCCGTCTGATGTCGCCCCGTTTGACCTAGCTTGACCCGCCGCGGCGTGTGCCGGCAGGACGGTGGACGGTCGAAGGTGGTCGGTGGCGTCGCTACCCTCCTCCGGCTACGGCACCACTCCGGGCAGTTCCAACGTCTCGGTGAGTGGTCTGCGCTGGCTTGAGTGGCGCCATGCCCCAGACCACACAATGGTGACCGCCTCTGATGCTCTGTGTTTGTATGGTCACGTCCTGCTTGCCGGGGCTGGACAAGCCGTTTGCTTCCGTTACATGCCTGGAAGTTTGCCATGTTCCTGTGTTTCCTGCGCAACGGAACAAGTCTGCGACTTAGTATAGCCATGACGTGCTGCCCCGCCGGTTGAGCACGCCCCATGTCTGGCGGTCTGTGATTTGACCTGACCTGACCTGACCGCCGTCGCGCCGCAGTCGCAGTGCTCGTCCCAGGAGCGGCTGCACCAGCTGCAGTGCTGCGGTCCGCCGGCCGCCGCCGCCGCCGAGCTGCCGCGCCACTTCTCCTCCAACGAGTCCAACCCCAGCCTGGACGAGGAGGGGCGCTGCTCGCCGCTGGTGCGGCCGCGCTCGCGCTCGCTCAGGTGAGCACCGCCTGCCGGCCGCCCGGCGCCACCACCCACGCTCTGTAGACACGCCCTCTGTAGGCGCCCGTGCGGTCGGTGGACGTGGACGACTGCGTGCTTAGCGCGTCTTGTTTTCGAGCGGGCAAGGCGCAGGACGCGGGGCAGGATAGGAGATTAGCTCTGGTGTTTTTGTTTGATTGTAGTGAGGATGTATGGGTCAAACACTCAGCCTCCGCTGCCCGGCGGACCGTGTGTGAGCAGCTGCCGGTCAGTGTGTCAGCAGACCTTCACGTATATACGGAGCGGTGGCATTTACCTCGCGCCGCGGTGTGATGTCCCGCTGCCAGTATCAGCTTGCGGGCAGCCGTCGAGCTTTGTGATCGCTTTGAATTATTAACCTGATGATGATATCATTAAAAATCATTTATTTTTGGAAACTCTGAATCGATTTTGAGCACCTAACAGAGGCATCGGCGATGAAGGAGAGAGCAAAGTTGACTGCATAGCACTGGCAGGCAAGGCACCGTTGTCGCTTGGCGTCCAGGGCAATCGTTACGTGCGCTCAAAGGAGCGGCGCGCGGCGCAGACACTGCCGGCGGAAGCGTGTGTGCGTGTGCGTGTGCGTGGCGTGCGTGTGCGTGTGTGTGTGCGTGTTTTCATAGGTCTTGATTGTTTGGAAACGGAAAGCCGGCTCGTTTGCGCTGAGGTCATTCGCGCGGTGATTGGTTATATTTTGTTTGTGCAACCATGCAAACAACTGTCAGAGGACGATGGTTGGTGTCCCCCGTCCATGACCCCTGTCGACATCATTGCGCCATTTTGGGACCTCTGACCCTTGTTGACACCGCTGCGCCGTCTCGGAGATTCGCCGCGCTGTAACGTCACTTAGTTGGTCCTGGCCTCGTCCGTCGTGTGAACCTGTCGGCCGTGTGATCGGGCCCCGGCCGGTTTGGTTCGGTTGCGTCATCGCGTGCGGCTGGGGCCGGGGCCGGCGCTGGGCTCCGCTGGCGCGCGTCCCCTGACCTTGCCCTCTGGCGATGAGGCCGGCCGGCCGGCCGTGCGCTGACCGGGTGGGAAGCCAGAGAGCTGCGCCCTCGTGACCGGCTTGTTCTTCTGTTATTGATCGGGGATGGTGGGAGCCAGGCGGGGCGGTGTGCGCCTGCTTTTCGTCCGAAACTTCTCGCAAAACAAAGGTTGCGTTAAGCATTTTGGCCATTCGTTTTTGGAAACTTCCGTACAAACAAGATTGGACGCGGCTGTTGGGATTTCGCCCGGAAAGGCCTGCGTACTCAGGCTAAGTGATTCCAGCGGAAGTGTCTGCTCTGCCACCGATATATTGCCGTTCGGCTGACTCACTGCCGAAGGCCTTGGTTGGGAACGACAACGAAGGGCTGCCGATATGCATCTCATGGTTTATGTATCGCGAGATTTTATCATAGGGAAGAAACTGGCACCGTTCTCCAGCCACCGCCTTTGCACATCTTCCGTGTGCTCAAACGCATTACTCTCATCACCAACTGCGGGCGGCTAGAATACTGGTTTTGTCCGCCAGCTACAGACACGTTTTGCGTTGAAGATTAACTGCATGTAGCGCCGTTGGCCTTGGTAGCGCTTAAGTTTAGGACACCGTCCCTGTGCATAGGTAGTGGATGTGCAGAGGGCATGCTGCCTCGCAGAATGAATATATTAACGATGCGTTTATTTTGGTACCGGCATCGCACCCTTTAACGATATACAAGGCTTAGCGAGACAAGGTCTGGATCACTGAAGATAGTATATCTTACGTTTTATCCAAAAGAGTGAAAATGTAGGCAAATTATGAAAGGTGTGGTATTGCGCAAGTGGGAGGCTAATTTTCCAATTACATTTTCGTGCTTGCGTGGTTTCATTCACCATTCCGATTTTCCAAGTGCCTGCTGGCGCAGCTACCAAAGCGTAGCTGCATACGTACACGCGTTTCGCACGACTGCTGGGATTAGGTCGGCAGATCATAGGGGCGGCGCACAATACGAACATCATTGTCTGGTGACGTGCCTCGTATATTCTAGTTGTGACGTATTCCCCGCACGGCCGGTGGTCGCTGCGCTTATCGAGCCTGACTCGAAGCGCAAGGATGTTTTTGTTAACCGCCTTGGAAACGACCACGTATGATACGGGGATGTTGTAGGCGGTGTGCCAGACTGTGACGGGACGTGTCTAACTTTTGGGGGTTATCTGCTGAACGGGCTGGATATCGGCGCCCGCTGGACAGCGCTCCGTGGCAACTTTGTCGTCGCTGCCGCTAGTGACGTCACATATGCCGACGTGCCGAATCTGGCGGCTTGAAAGCAATTTCGGCCTGTGTATTCGGAAATGTTGGGCGTTGGAGAAGGACGCGGTTCCGCTTTCTGCCCAAGCGACCGCCGGCCGTGGTCGCGCTGTGCCGGTTTAAAATCACATTTTAGGTCAAGCGTGCCCGTGTAGGTCTGGCAACGTGCCAGGCCAGGCGATAACAGGCGCATAATGACTCGGAAAGGGGCGACTTGATCAGGGCGGACGGCCGATGGAATTGACGGATATCGGAACTGATTGGTGGCCAAATTGGCGGCTGACGGGAATGGTTACGGCTGGTGGTGGGACTGGCGGACGTCAGAATGTGAGCGGAATGTGAGGGTGTCCGGATGTGCTGGTCTGCTGTGATGGTGGGTCTGCCGGGCGTCAGGACTGCTGGGATGGTGGGTCTGCCGGGGGTCAGGACTGCTGGGATGGCGGGTCTGTCGGGCGTCAGGACTGCTGGGATGGCGGGTCTGTCGGGCGTCAGGACTGCTGGGATGGCGGGTCTGTCGGGCGTCAGGATTGCTGGGATGGTGGGTCTGCCGGGGGTCAGGATTGCTGGGATGGTGGGTCGCCGGGCGTCAGGACTGCTGGGTGCCGGGAGTGACCGGGCTGTGTGTTCGCCTCGGCGGCCGACTAACGAGCGCGCCTGTCTGCCTGCTGCACGGCTCCCTCGTCCACAGTCTGGCCTGGCTGTGCATTGCCACCTTGGAGTAAGCCACTGTCAGCCTTCTCGCTGTTCCACATCGCTCGCTCGCTCGCTCTCTGCCTCTCTCCGTCTCTCTCAGTCTCGCTCTGTGTCTGTGTGGGTGCACGTGGCCTGGCGAGGATTGTCGAGCGGCTGGCTAGCGCTGGCGCCTTATGCTACTCCGGCGTTCTGCTGCGCCGACGGGAGACGGGGCTGGCCTGGGGCTAAATCAAATCGCGGCGCTGCGAAATATCTCAGCCTTCTGCCACTGTCGTCTCTCCTGCCCACTGCTGTCTCTCTTGCCCACGGCTGTCTCTCCTGCCCACGGCTGTCTTCTGCCCACCGTTGTCTCTCCCGCCGACGCCTGTCCTCTGCCCACTGTTGTCTCCTGCCCGTTGTTGTCTCTCCTGCCCACGGCTGTCTCCTGCTCACTGTTGTCTCTCCTGCCCACGGCTATCTCCTGTCCACCATAGTCTCTCCTGCCCATGGTTATCTCTTGCCCACTGTTGTCTCTCCTGCCCGCGGCTGTCACCTGCCCTCCGTTGTGTCTACTGCCCACTGTTGTCCCTCCTGGCCACGACCGTCTCCACCTACTGTGTCCCTCCCTTCCTCTTCAGCTTGCCGCAGTCGTCATCGCTTTTGAAAGCGTTTTATCGTGGCGCCCAGCTGGTGGGTCTCTCAGCACGGTATCTTTCGTGTTTAAAACGTCGATCCTTTTCTGTCATCCTTTCATCCCAGCCCGTGTGTTTTCGTTGCCAGACCCATTCTTTGGAAGACTGCCGCGTCGCTTGCTCTCACCACTGGCGAGATAGATGCATTCTGAACACAGCGCAGCGCAGTGTTGCCGTTGCGGGATAGCCTGCCAGCTCAGTCGGGGTTTGGCTCAGACTGCCGTCGGTACCTGCCGGGCGAGCGCGTCAGGACGCTCTGACCGAGCGCGGCCAGCCGGACCGACAAGACCCTCTGACTGAGCGCAGCCAGCTGGCTCGACAATATCCTTTGATGGAGCACAGCCAGCCAGCCCGGCAAGACGCTCTGACCGAGCGAGGCCAGCTGACTCGACAAGACCTTCTGACCGAGCACGGCCAGCCGGCTTATCGCCATGCACGCCGCGTCTATGTGGGCCCCGTCTGCGAATCCCTCGCGACGCGCCAGACGTTCTGTCTGCAACCGACTTCGATCGGCTCGCGGGGCGGCTGCCGGACGTCCCGCGAGCCGGAGTCTCGAGCGGCCGACACCGGCGACTGGCGCGTCGCAGCGACCACCGCTGTTCACCCCTCCCCTCACCTCGCTGGCGAGACGCCATCGGCCCGTAATTGCGACCAGCTGGTGGGATTAAATGTGCTGTAATGAAATGCCTCTAAGCTGCTGAGCCTACGAACAAAGGACTTCACAAGCGGTGTGAGAGGAAGGCGAGCTCGAGACAAAGGAGCCGTGACATGTGGGAGCAGCGATGCGGCGCTGCCGGGTCGGGTGGCAGTTGCCGGAAGGCTGTGTCGTGCTCGGCACCAGTGCCGTGACGTCGGCGTCGCGCTGCTAATGAGCAGCCCGTGCTGCGCATTACTGCTCACACTCTGCCGACGGCTGGGGATGCACATGCGGGCTCTGCACGATCCCATCCCCTCCCGCGCCGTCGATCACATCCCCTCCCACCCTTTGTCGCTGTCTTTCGCTCTGTCCTTTTTGTCGCTGTCTTTCGCTCTGTCCTGGGGTGTTGGCAGTGTAGTGGTTAACGCGTCTGCGATAGCCACTGCACGTCTGGGAAACCAGAGGTACGGGGCTCGATTGCCCGCGGTGCCCGCCCTTCCTGCCAGGGTGAGAGGCAGGCGACGCCATATAGCCTCAGCAGTTGAGTGCGTCACAAAGCCCCAATGACATGACATTTCGTTCTGTCCTTTTTGTCACTGTCTTTCGCTCTGTCCTTTTTGCCGCTGTCTTTCGCTCTGTCCTCGCCTCTTTGCCGTGTTTGCCTTCCTTCATTTGGTATCTGTTTTCCTCGACTTGTCACTTTGTCCCCCATTTGTCATATCACTACCTGTCTGTTTATGCTGTATAGGTATAAGGTATAGGTATATATGCCCTAGCTCCCAGGTCCCTCGCCCATATTGTAAATCTCCCACCACTCGGTCGAGGTTTGTAGTAGGCCGCATGGGTCGCAGTTCGCCATTCGGGATTGTCTCCCGAACTATTCACGTGTAGCTAGTCAGCTAGATTAGGGTCGGCCTCTCGGCGGCGACGTACGCAATCGCTGTCTGCGTTTATTAGAACTGCTCTGTCGTCATATCAACTTTGATATTGGTTTGTATGTTTTTAGAACTGATTCGTTCCGTGTTGCCATGCTTATAAACGCTACGATTGGAGCATATGGTCGCCTCACAGGTCCCGCCAGAATCTCAATCAAATCGGTCTGGGGATTTCTCTAGTCGATCGTGCTTATAACTATGTCGATACTTCATCCCATTTGCTCCCATAGCGTCCGGGATGTCCGGTTGTGAACGATGCTTTCCTCTTCGTCGTTGAGCCGAGTTGCTCTCGGCGTAAATGTGGTATGCCGTTGCCTCGTCTCACACAGGTGTATATCGGTGCCGGGTTTTACCGCAGCTGTGAGGTCGGCGAGCCACGCCCCGTTACTGATGTCCGACACCGCTCTGTTTCAGTTCTCCCATGAGAACGCCGCTGGTGGACAATGACGTCGTCATCATGAATACTCTTTACAAGGAGCGGTTTCCAAAGGTAGGCCAGTGCCTTCCCTGGCTGCTTTTGAGTTAAGCAATGGCCCGAGGCTATTATTATTATTGTACGATCCGGGACCACTGCCCGCGACAAACTTTCCGAATCTGGAGCAGGTTCCGTGGCGTCATCGGCCGCCTCCATCACGACCTCACCGCTGTGTCGTGCCCCGCGTCATGACCCCACCGCTGCGCCGAGCACTGCGCCGTGACCTCACCGCCGCGCCGTGCCCTGCGCCATGACCCCACCGCCGTGCTGTGCCCTGCGCCGTGACCTCACCGCTATGCCGTGCGCTACGCCGCGACCGTACCCTGAGACCATCGCCGCGCTCTGTGCCGTATCACCGTCGTGACCCCGGGCGCGGCCGCAGGCGACGCAGCAGATGGAGGACCGGCTACAGAAGCTGCTGGAGGAGCAGGAGACCTCGGACGCCGTGCCGGACGATACGTCGCCGTCAGCCGTGGCTATCGTGCGCTTCGTGCGTCACCAGGTCAGTCACGTACAGCCACACCGCGCTGCGGCGCGCGCTTCAGGCGCGTTCCCACGGACGGACACGGCTGCGGTGCCAGGTGTGTGTGTGTGTGTGTCCCGCTCCCGCCATCGGCTCCGAAATAAGGTCCGGCGGAGGGCACGGCCCCGACATCCGGTTCGTGTCCCGCCTGTCCAGCTTGCCTGCCGACACCATCCGGCATGTGGACACGGTCACGGCACGGGACTTGTGTCCCCCTGCCCTGCTTTGTTGCGGCCGTGGTGCCGCACGCGGACACGGCTGCACCATCTCGTGCGTGCGCCGGCGGCGCGATGTCGTCAGGCGCGGCCGGCCACTGACCACGACGCAGACCGGGGGCCGTCGCCCAACTCTCACGGGACGGTGGACGGGACACCGGCGGTCGAGCCGGAGCGGGACCGTGGCTCATGTCGGGGCCGCCGGAAATCGGCCCTGTCGGATTACTGGATAGTGCTGCCAGCCAGATCATCCTTCAGCCGTGGAAGGGGGGAGCGAGGGAGTTAGCATCGGAGCTGCGATAAATCACCAGATAGCTGTGGTTCGAGGAAGTTCACGGCATAAAACTTGCAAACGAGCTGAGATCCGTGGCTATATTAAAAGTTGTCTGGTGCCTCGCTCATCTCATAAAAAGATGATGGGTGCGTGGCTGTTTGCCCTATACAGTTGAATTTTACCCCGACCCAAATTCAGACTTTCATTTCGTGTGCTATCTCAGAGTGGGTTAGTCGGATTTTCTTAGGCACGTAAACAGCCTGTTGTGATATGAAGATGTACTGCACGCCGGAAGAACAGGAACGGATGGCCTGTATGCAGTCCCAAAATAAGAGGAAAGACATCGCAAAACATGCCCAACACCTGCTATTTCGCGCTGTGTCCCACGATTTTTCACTTATCTCAACTATCCGGATTCACGGCGGGACGATGGTCGCCAGTTCTGAGTCAGCAATAATTCATTTCACATTGGAGTTCAACGATTTGTTTGTAAAGGGCAGCCAGTAAATAAGAAGAATCACGTAAGTAGAGGCAGAGGTGAATTTTGTTGTGGAGCAAAACGCAGTGCTCTTATCCGGCAAAAGATCGTAATTAAATATTCACTATGCGTTCAAGATCTCAAAATATTTAGCACGCATGCTTCTGCGGACCGGAGAGGAAAACGTACGGGGCTGGAGACCGGAGCCGTTTGTTTGTGCTTCGATTAGCGCTAACTTGAGCTGGGAAGTTAAGCGTCGGCACGACGGCGGCCGCGCGATGTCTAACTGCGCAGCGCCTGGCAGCGGCCGGGCGGACGTGGTTAATCACCTCAGGCCGGCGCCTGTCGGCTGGACGTGAGGGGCTGGGGAGGGGAGGGTGACCTTAACTGACCTGACCTGACCTGACCTGACGGCCGGCCGGGCGGACGCGATTAATCACCTTAGGCCGGTGCCTGTCGGCCGGACGTGAGGGGCTGGGGAGGGGAGGGTGACCTGATCTGACCTGACCTGATCTGATATTACCTGACCTGACCTGACCTGACGGCCGGGCGGATGTGATAAATCATTTCATGCCGGCGCCTGTCGGCCGGACGTGAGGGGTTGGGGAGGGTGACCTGATCTGACCTGACCTGATTTGATATTACCTGACCTGACCTGACCTGACGGCCGGGCGGATGTGATAAATCACCTCAGGCCGGTGCCGGTCGGCCGGACGTGAGGGGTTGGGGAGAGGAGAGACGATCTGGTCCGATCTGGTCTGACCTGGCTTAACCCGACCTGACCTGACGGACGGACGGACTGGCTGGCTGGCGGATCTGCGCAACAGCGCAGGTTTGTGAGAGCGCCGGGCGTCACCGAGCCGACGTCGCATGCCGCCCGTGTGGTTGAGTAAACATCGTGGCGCGGGACAGAGCGCCGTCGCCGCGTCCCGTCTGTCGAGACGCGTCGGCGCCGGGCGTGCGGTGCGAACCCGCCGGCTGTCGGCGCAGCGGTCGGACCGTGACGCACCGCTCCAGTGGCGGCCGGCGCACCTCCCACGGCCGTCCTACGGAGGCGGACAGCGTCGGCCCGCACTGGCCGCACGAGCCTCTTGTTTCTTGGGCGGTGGGTCTGGCTGCGCGACCGGCAGGCCAAGATATATGGCACGGCTCGGGTGGTCAGCGTTGTCGGTACCGAGGTGCAGCCCCACCTGGTCGCTACTCTCGCTTCTACTCATGGGACGCTATGGACGGACACACACATTATCTAGGTTTTTAGTGTGGGCGTTTATCATAGGTCTGTTTGCGCACACGTTCTCCACGCTACGCGTTACTGCCTTATCGATCAGTGCGGGCGGCTGGGAGGCTGCCCTCCGGGAAGCAGCCGGTCGTCCGTCCTCGTGCTGTCGGCTGGGAGGCTTTATGCCGTACATTGAGATGCTGTAGACGTACGCTGAGCGTCCTTTCTCGGAACAGACTAATGGGCGTTATCTTACAGACCGCCTCGCATTGTATTTGGCTTTACGTCTGAATCAGCGCTCGGTCTTGCTTGATCGCCACGCTTTGTTCGACGTCGCGACTTAGCTCGTTGAAAGTGGAGGATCCGAGTAGTAGATACATGATTTATCGACGTAAAGCAAGGAGTCGGACAAAGCACCAGCAGCGCAGCTAAAGGATTTCCAGCGGCTGTCCTGATATCATCTTGTATGGTGAGCCGGAGACTTAGAGTATTTGGTGTCGGCAGGTGATGGAGATGGTTCGTGATTGTCTCAGCAAGTCCCGGGAACGCTGCATCACTAGCCGATATTTCTACGAGCTGTCAGAAAACCTGGAGAAGCTTCTCAACGAGGTCGGTTCGTTAACGATGAAGCCGCGACCATTGTGCCGTGCTTGTAGTCAGATCTGGTTGTTTTTGTAGCACCAGTGTTTGGTTGGTTGGATACGATGCATGCGTCGTTGACACCCTGTGTTAGACAGATAAATCGTCTGAGCCTGTTGATCGCAACACAAAACGGACCGGTGAAGGTTGTGGTTAGGCTGGGCTTTCAGGCTGAAAGGCCTAACGGTTTTTTCCGCGGGAGCGTTGGCTTCCTGGTCGCTTCACTGGCTTATTGCTGCAACGCCTGTGTTCGGCTCATATTAAATGTCCGGCTGTGTCACGGTGTGAACACCTGACAAGAAGGGCCGCCTGGGACGGTTAGTCCAAAGGTCGGGTACCTGTGCGCCGCCGGGCGACAGGTGATCTGTGGTCGCCGGCCGCGAGTGCCCCGCTCCTGACGCGACGTCGCGGCGATGTGTCCGCAGACGCGCGAGAAGTCGGCGGAGGCGGCGCATCAGATGATGTTTCTGGTGCGACGCCTGCTGCTGATCATCTCGCGGCCGGCGCGGCTGCTGGAGTGTCTCGAGTTCGACCCGGAGGAGTTCTATCACCTGCTGGAGCGGGCTGAGGGCCAGGCGCGCTCGTGCCAGGGCATCACCACCGACATCCCCCAGTACATCGTCAGCAAGCTCGGCCTCAAGCGCGACCCGCTGGCAGGTGAGAGCGCCCCGCCCGTGTCCTCCTCGCCGCTCGTGGCGGTCCCGGCGCT